TCGTTTCTTTCTGTTATTGCGCAATTCTTGCTTCATAATGGGATTTTCCTAAACTATTTCTGTTCTTATGTAACTCATGCGCAACTCTTGCATAACTATTGTTCAACTTGTGTACTATATATAGCCGTTCACTTTCTTAAATAAATATGAGAAGTGAGTGAGTAGAACCTCACACACTCATACAGAATACTTTTTACCGGAGTTGGGCGAGGGAAATTCATCCGAAAATTTTATGGACTTTTAAATCCGAACGATATTACAACCGGGTGGAGTTGTACGGGCGAGTCGGATTTCCAGATAAAAAGTCTTCCCGGACTTAACAGGTGAAAAATCGATCATTAGGGTGATGGAATCAAATGTTCAGGCAAATTGACATGTTCTACAAGCCGGATAGATCAGAAATGAATGTTGAAAAAGAAAGTTTCGATTCTGGGTAATCGGATCGTCAAGCTCTAAATGTAGTCCTTACTATGCTGTTTGGAATTAGCACTGTTGACTATCTCTAATCCTCTTAATTTCTCATCCAAAAAGCCGAAAAGTTCGCCTATTGATTCATTGATTTAGTTTTTCAGTTCGTTTGCATCGGAAGGTACATATTTTCTTTATGTTCGCTTGTGTAGTTTCAATAAAATAAATTTTATTTAGTGTGAATTCAATTACCGAATCGAATTACAGGTGATTGTCTTGAACCCGGCCCGTCCCAAAGTGATAAAAAGTTTTCAAAACCTGCTCAAAACAACCCGAAAATTTTACTTAAATGACCCAACAACAACCTGAAACTGCAAATCCTTTTTCTCAAACGTATATTGTCATAAGTCTGATCATCAGAATGCGACGTTTGTCTATGTGTTTTTTTTTAAACAATGCTGTGTACGTACTTACGAGAATTATGGTGGCAGATTATACATTACACAGGAGGAAAAAAGCACTGAACGTTTTTCCTAGATAAAAAAGAAAACATGTTTGAAAATAAATGAGTGAAAAGTAACCAAAGAATTCTTTTCTAGTGGCACAACTCGAATAAAACTCGAGCTGATTCGAATCAATATTTTTTTCGTTAGCCTGAAGTCGATCCAACCCGACGCTTTTCGATCTATTTCGGTCTCTGATGTGGAATTGGTTTGAGTTGAACATGGTGATTCTGAAATTACTGAGTTGAGTATTCGGTTTGTTGATAATTTATTTATTTACAAAAATATGACAGACTCATAAGACATGTTAAGACGGAACACAGAAACTGGACTATTTAGAAATTTTTGGCTCCAGTTGTATGTGAATCATAGACAATTAATCTTGTTATCGACCGATATCAATTCTTAAAAATACTCTATATGTCTTTAACCCTTTACGGTAACATTGCAAGACTGTTTTATGAAGAACTCTTTCAAACTAGTGTTGAATATCGATCTCATATCATGATAATTAAGGACACACATTGCGCAATTTATTCATCTTTCATTAGAGATCATTATGTATTGCTTTCTCAAAATAGCCTGGAAAGAGCTAAACAGTTTGGAAAATCAATATAATCATAATTATCGTTTTTCTGCACATCGATTAAGCTCAATGTGCAAGCCACCTACTCCGAAACTTTCTTTGATAGATTATCGATATGCCTCACTATTAACAACAGCGTTGCAGTAATATATAATACAAAAAAAACGAGAATGTTACCTGTGGGTAACATCCGGCCAAATTTGAAAAAGGTGAGGTTTTTTACGTCTATCAGAGTTTCATATTTCGTGGGTTTTTGAAATTCATATGTTGATACTAGATACCAGTTTATCTTCTTGTCCGTCTTCCGCAAGTCAGAGTTGAGATATCTCTAAAATATTCTCAAATTTTGCGAAATAATGCAAAAATAGTCAGTTTTTGTCCAGAGAAGTTCTGGGAAACAAGAAGATTCTAGAAATTCTTAGAGAATTTCAAACCATTCTGTAATAGTCTACGTCGGAACACACTGGGAGGCTCTCAGATTTTCCAGAGTCCACTTGTTTTCCAGAACTTCTCTGGACAAAAACTGACTATTTTTGCATTATTTCGCAAAATTTGAGAATATTTTAGAGATATCTCAACTCTGACTTGCGGAAGACAGACAAGAAGATAAACTGGTATCTAGTATCAACATATGAATTTCAAAAACCCACGAAATATGAAACTCTGATAGACGTAAAAAAACTGACCTTTTTCAAATTTTTGTACCCCTATGGGCGGATGTTACCTAAAGGTAACATCAAGCCGTTCAACGACGGAGAACTTTTTCGCAGCACCGAGCATACTTTTGGTATCTCCACGCTGATAAAACTACAAATACGCGGGAAAATAATTTTTTACTCTCTCGCTTCTAGGAGCCGGCCGTAAAGGGTTAAGATAATCATATTCCGACGCCTTATTTATTAATTCCTTTACTTTCTTATTCGCTTTATCTATCTATCTTCTATCTATATGTATAAAGAAGAATGTTTGTTTGTGTGTCTCTTTGTCTGTTCTTTATGCATTTGGTCCCTGTAAGAGCTAGCGTCACCAAACTTTCCATGACATACCCTAAGGTCCACAGGAAGGTCGAGACTTCCTCCGAGAATTTTTTAATAAAAGAAGTCGATCATAGAAGAAGAACATCGAAAAGGATAAAAATGTTTTTAAAAAGTTTAAAATGACGAAAACAAAAAAGTTCAAGAGGGAAAGTAGGAGACCATAACGATGTCTTTTTCTAATATGTCAAATACGTAAGGTCAAATTTTTCCGAGCAACGCCGGATATTTCAGCTAGTTAGATATAAACGTAACGTTTACATATAAATAAACTAAACAAGTTTCCAAAAGACACACACAACTTCTATACTAATATGTTGCTCCAGGCATGGAGCATCATCAGAGCAACAATAGAGAAAAGAAAGAATAATTAAAAAACCATACGAGTATTTATATATGAGTGAATTGCATGGCCATTGTACCGTTTGAGAAAAAAACACGATAATAAAAAGTTTCAAATAAACAAAATCGGAGTTGTACGTTTGATAGAGCTATATCGATTGTGTATAAACATAACATTTTCCCGGTACTTTAGAGTTTGATAAGGCTCCGATACAATGATTTTGAAGAACTACCCAATCCGTAGTGCTAGGTATTTCCACACCGGTTCGCCCGCTTTATACAAAAGTTTCAGCGAGGTGAATCTTACTATGCTCATCAGATAGAGCATGTCAAGTTACATATAAATCGATATTTTTCTATTGAAAATGATTAGTGCTTTGGTGGTGAAACAGTGCTTTCAAAAGTACCAAACGACAGCACTATGGTCTTTAGAAAACGGTATTTTTGAGAGAAAAAAAGCTTATCGTTTTCTTAAAATAAAAGACAACTTATAGACTTAATAAGCTTTTTGTGATGTCAGACGAATAGCTCGGAAGTCAACGAATCGTATAATGTACGATGAGTTGGAATTTTAAGTTATTTTGATCGAAATATAGACAAAACAATCTCAGTGGACATTTTGTGCAAAAACCAAAAAAAGATTGAATACATGTTTCATCCTGATTTTTGATTGGATAAAAGCTCTAAAAGATTTCCTTTTTTATCCAAAATGTAGAGCATCGTAGGCTCTATCTTTCTGTCTATTTTAAAACTTTTCAGGAGTCGGCATTGGCATATTAATGTAGTTCTAATCTCGGTGGACAGAATTTTTCAAAAGTGTTTGTAAACAGGGTTTTTTGTTAAAACCAGAGTTAATATATGATTTTATTTAAATTCAGAGTACGTATTCTGAAAACCTACTTTACAAGCTTCGAGAAGCGCTGAAAAACTTTTAGAACTAGTTTAGATAAATCAGCAAAAAAATTTTGATTCTTTCTCCAGATGGTGCCAAAAACAGCCAACTTTGATCTTATTTGATCTATATCTCAGCACCCACTTGAGATGGTGAGTTCTTTTTCTCACAAGTGAATGACCATTACTGAACAAACAACATAAAAAAAAGAACTTTAAAATCGGTTGAGCAGAACAGCTTTTATAAGCAAAACATTCTCCGACAACCAACGGTACAATGGCTATGCAATTTATTCATTTATGACTCGTCGTACATTATGACTATGAACCATCGTCTATTAAATCTCTTAGCAAGCTGTGTTGTTATGTCGGTTTAAATCAAACATTGGTTTTTACAATGTCGATTTTTGCGTTTGAAAATCGAAACCGCTGCATACCTAGAATGAAGTGCTCTACTACTCAAAAACAAAAATGAGCTACTTAAGTGCGGAATGTTTCACATACTATAATCTGAAGTGAATTCACATAGAAATTAATGAATTCAACTCTATATATCCTGAATCGCTTTTCCCAGGTGTAGTAAGCACACTAAAAACATTCTTAAAGTATGCAAACCGTATCATTTAAATCATTCGAAATTAGCGCCATTACTAAACTAGACGTTTATGTAAAAATTGAGATACAATCAATATATTATTTTTAAAAAATAAAAGATTGAAAAATACAGACTAAAATGAACTATTTGTTTTATATTTTCTTCAATGTTTTTTTCTCTCCCATCTACACACCAGTTAAAAAATATCGTCCGCCATAGCCACAATATTTTGGCTGGAGAGAAAACAAAACAGAATGAAAAGAATATATCGAAAAATTCCCGAAGAAAAAAACTTAGAGGAGTATTTAATTTGGAAAACCTTTTACTTTAGAGAGAGGAGTCTTTATCTTCAAAAAAGATTCGAAGATAGAATGTCTTTTATTCCCAAAGGAAACAATATATGGAGGTTTGTTCGTCCTACATTTCACCATTGTGCACCACCATTTCGAGGTCTCACAACAACTTCTGGTGTGATAAAAGATCATCAAAAAATAGTAGATATCCTAGCGGATTTTTATGAAAAACACTTCGAAGCTCCAGTGCATGATCCAAATGTATTGGCGCATGCAGAAGCGATTGAAGCATATAAAAACGTTTTCTATATTCCAAACTGTCCGTTAGAAAAGATTACTATGGAAGAAGTGGAATTTACTTGGAAACGGACTCGGAAGAAAAAATCAACTGACAGTGAAGGTACTTCTGCGTTTGTTTTAAAACAGCTCCCCGACGAATATTTAAACATTCTAACATATGATTTTAATAAAATTGCGCAATTAGGATCCGTTTTAAAGTTAAGTAAACATGGTAAAGTTATTTGTCTTTCTAAAGACGGAATGTATCCGGTAGTAAATAAACTTCGTCCTATTTCTCTCCTTTCAAACTTTGGAAAATGGTTCGAAAGAGTTATCCACAACAGAATTTTGAGATGGTATAAAGGCATGGACATATGTGTGGACGAACAATCCGGTTTTTTTCGCCCGAAAGAAGGTTGCAAACATGAATTTTTTCTTTGATTGAAGATCTGAGACTAATAGTGGCCGCGTGTAATAGACCGGCACTGGTTATCTTTGTTGAGTTTATGTCAGCTTTCGACAGAATGTGGCATCCAGCGCTTTTGAAAACGCTTATTGATTTAGAATTTCCATTACCACATCTTCGATGGGTCTTCCTGTGGTTTCAGGAGAGAACCATGTCGATTCATTTTGGCGATGCCATTTCTCGTGTAATAAACATTTTTTCTGGTGCTCCTCAAGGCTCGGTATTGGCCGCTACATTGTTTCGTCTTCATGTTCATTTTCTTCCTTTTACTTTTTAAATATTTAGGTGTGGAAATAACAGTTAAATTAGGTTGGGGTCAGTATATTTCCCGCCGGCTGAAAATAATTCGAAATATATATAATGCTCTTCGCATGTTGTTCCACCAGATGACTATCTGTTTACTTACAATTCGTAAAATACTGTTTTTCGCGTATGCTCTTCCTCGTTTCATCTGTTGGTTTTCATGTTGGTTATTTTTTACGGATCGTCAATAACAAATTATAGAGCATGTGTACTGCTCAGGTTTAAGAATAGTGCATAATTTGTACAACTGGGACGACCTAACCGTTTACATTTCATGTCAAGAACTAACTCTACGTGATTTTTTATATAAGTATCGGGATTAAACTTAGCGCACATCTTGAAGTTTCACATGAAGCTTCCCATTATCAGTCTACATTAACATCATACTTAGCAGCAAAAACATCTCAAAGAAGTTGGTACCTTTCTATGGGAATGCGTAGGAATAATAAATTCTTGAGTAGATTACCTGTAAGAGCCCGTCACACTAAAATTGATGTATTAGAGTTTCCCTCAAGACATTCTCAGCAATTTGGGCACTATAAATACTCTTCATCATCTATCCTTTCTTTTGTGTATAAGTACTATCTACAACCTCCTTGAGTGTAAATGAGCTTATTCGTTTTATAATTTATTCGTTTTTGTCTCATAATAATTTTTTGTTCCGGAAACACTACTCTCTTCATTTTCTATCTTAGTTTTTGCATACATGTTGATGAAATGAAATGCTCCCTTACCTGCAGTGAACAAGAACGCCTTCTTATTCTGATGTTTGATTATCGGGCCGCAGGACTTCAAATGAAGAGTTGCGGGCAGTGTACTATATAATGGCTGTCTTTTGCTTTGTACTGTACCTGCTAATTTTTAAGCGGTTACTACCTATTACTGTGTCCACACGAGCCATTATGGAAATAACTATTGACTGGCAATGACTAGAGTTGAAGTTTTCGTATGTTTCGGATGCCGGGCAAGACCTTGATTTTCAGTGGTTTGGGTGTGGTATTGGATTTCTTTTGAGCCTCAGGACTGGCACGTGCCGACATTGCATGAAACATCCAATCTTTGATGTTTCAGCGCCAGATTTGTGACAGATATGATAAGGATCCTGCAAGGATTCGCTCTTTTTTCCTGAGGAAACGACGAAATCCTGGAAGTAGTGCGTAGCCACGAAATTGTAGGATCCTGTCAGGATTTCAATAATTCCTAATTGCAAAAAAAAAAGATTTCTGATAACATCTTTCAGGATTTAACTAGGTTTCCTCGAAGATGCTATTAAATTTCTTGACAGGATCTTTACAGGATTTTCTAAATAGAACAGAAGAGAAATGAACACATAAAGTATCGATCTCTAGACGTTCAGTTTACATACCGATGAAACAACGTGTATATAAACTGTATATAAACTTTGAAAAGATTTAGAAAAAGTTTTTCTACGATTTTTTTCCAGATTTCAGAAAAAATCTGACCAAGAACTTGAACAAATCCTGAAAAATCAATCCAGAATCAAACTTGACATGATCCTTAACCTTTATGATGCTGAAAGAACGGAAACTTTTATTGCATGGGTATCAGATAGGTATCCGGTACCCAAACTTTTTAGTTTTCACAAGATTCATGCAGGGCCAAGTCCTAAGATGATACTGTGAAACTATGAAAGTCACACTATGATATTAATTTAATTATTAATGATGATTAATTTATTTAAATAGCAGCACTTGTATTCAACAGCACAAGTGGTATAACTGTTTTACTTCTTCTGTTTGTTATAATGATAATGTCGATGTCCATTTGAATGGCGACTGGGCTTTAAAGGGTTAAATATTCATAACGTTTAATGAAGGACATTGAATTTAAATTTTAAATTTTTTACTCTTCCTGCGACTTATTTATGATTTATTAAATTGAAGAACAAAAGCTAAAGAACAATGGGACTATAGCATCAAGAAAACAGCAAGGGGAAAAATCCTAACTCATCATAGTTCGAAATATATATTTGCATCTTGTTTTAATTTGAATATATTTTTGCATTATTTAGGGAAGTTTCTTAACCGTACTTTTTTTCATCGATGGTCTTAATGCTTTTCAAAAAAAATGAACTGAACTTCTGAAAAGAACTTTTTCACGAATGAGAGGCAAACAAAATTTTATCTACTTTTCATTTTGAAACAAATGAACTGTTGTGTGTGAGTGTATGTTTCTAGAATGTATGTATGATAATCAACTTTTCTTTTTCGACTGTTCTCAACCAGAGCCCTGCAGGTTGATCCTAACCTAACCTAACCTTTAGGTTAGGATTAGGTTGCAGAAGTTATAGGTTAGGTTAGGTTATAGCTTGTTCTTTTTTTCGTCCAATAGTTGTTACTTTTGCTCGAATGAAACATTTTTCTCATTTTAACGACATTTTTGTTCTTATTCTTT